CAGGCTGTTTTGCTGTTTTGAGTACAGTGGCTTTGTAGTGTAACTTGATATTTGGTATTTTGATCCCCCAACTTTGTTTTTCTTTCTCAATATTGCTGGGGCTATTTGCTCTCCTACAATATGTTTACTGATACATCAATTGAAAATAAAGAGAAAATAAACAAATGGAACCACATAAAATGGAAAATAAAGAGAAAACAAACAAATGGAACTATATAAAAATAAAAAGCTTTTGCACTGCAAAAGAAACCATCATAAAAATAACAAGAGAGCCCATTACATGGGAGGACATGTTTGCCAATGATACACATGATAAGGCATTAATCTCCAAAATATATAGGGAACTTATACAATTTAACAAAAGGAAGACGAACAGTCCAATTAAAAATGTGCAAAGGACCAAAATAGACACTTCTCTAGAGAGGACATGCAGAAAGCCAAGAGACATATGGAAAAATGCTCAAAGTCACTAATCATCTAAACAGTGTTTCCCAAACTTTTGACATATATGTACCCCTTCTATAATTTTCGTAACGCTGAGTACCCCTCGTACTCATGAGAATGTAGAATTAGGCGCAGCTAAGCACGGTGCAGTGCACATCCCCACCAAACTCTGGTGCAATGTGTACCCCCACCAAACTCTTCCCGTACCCCTGGGGGTACACATACCACACTTTGGGAAACACTGATCTAAGAGATGCAAATCAAAGCAACAATGAGATATCACCTCATACCTGTCAGCATGTAATCATCAACAAATCAACTAATGACAAGTGTTGGCGAGGTTTGGAGAAAAGGAAACCCTAGTACACTGCTGGTGGGAATGCAGACTGGTGCAGCCACTGTGGAGAACAATATAGAACTTCCTCAAAAGATAAAAAATGAAATTCCCATTTGACTCAGTCATCCCACTTCTTGGAATGTGTCTTAAGAAACCCAAAACACTCATCAGAAGTTTATGCTATGATGTTCTTAGCAAATTTATAATAGCTAAGACTTGAAAGTCTTTGCTAAGTGCCCATCAGCAGATGAGTGGATAAAAAAACTTTTGTATATTTACACAATGGAATTTATGCAGCGGTACAGAAAAAAGAACTCTTACCACTTGCAACAGCATGGATGGACCTGGAGAATATTATGCTGAATGAAATAAGCCAGTCAGAGAAAAATAAGTATCGATATCACATGATCTCACTCATATGTGGACTCTAATGAACCAAATAAACTGATGGTCAAAATTGAGTCACAGAAGCATGAAAAGACTGTTGAAATTCAGAGGGTGGGTGGGAAAAGGTCAACCAATGAACCTATATAAATATATGCATAACCCGTGGGCGTGGACAATGAGGTGGTGAGGAATTGGGAGTTGGGGGGGAGGGGGACAGGAGCAGGCTGGAAGAAGTTAATGGGGGGAAAAAAGGAGGACCTATGTAATACTTTCAACAATAAAGATTTAAAAAATACTTTAATTTTTTGTGTATTGAGATCCTGTTAATGCTGAGCCTTTCTTTGGACTTGATCTGTGAAGTAGTGAAGTAGAGGAGTGACGAGGACAAAATCTGGAGCCTAATCACCTGGATTAATCCTGACTCCACAGTAGCTATTGAACCTGTTGAAGCCTCAGTTTCATCACCTGCAAAATGGGTATAATAATGCCTAGGACAGAGAAAGTCTTTAATGTGCCAATTAGCTAAAATAAACATAAAGTCTTTGGTATAGTGTCTGCCACGGAGTCAATAAGTAGTCTTTTAAAACAATTTTTGGTGACAATGACACTAAAGAAAGAGTGGCAGATAAAATGATGGTGAAAGTCAAAAAAGGCCAGGTGCTGAGGTTACAGGAAAAAATAGAGAGAAATATAATGACCTTCACTGAGGAAGGCTTAACATCTTGGATCTTTAACTAAAGGAAAAGAAATAAGCACACAACGGTAGTAAATTAGGAGTATGGAGAAATTATCATCGTTGTTTCTTTTTATTTGTGTTTATTGTGTGGTGTTAGGGTGATTACCAGTTTTATTTGAATGTTTTATAAGCTGTTAGATTTATTTACTGAGCATGAACAGATAAATAGGGATGTTATTCAGCTGTGTGGTGTCATGGGTTCTCACAGCCAGCTCTTCTGCTAACTTTCAGACAAAGCTAATTAACTAGAGAAGTTCACCTTGGAGGGAGGAGAGGAGAGCTGGGTCTGCTGGATGATTCATCTTAAGGTGTTGGGGGTGGTGATGGGGGTGGGGGTAAAGGGGAGGCTGGTGAATCTCCTCTTGTTAGTGGTTCTGGGAAGGGGTTAGGCATTGATTGGAGGGAAACTTTTACGAAACCTTGAGAAAGACGTACTGACAGAGTTCTGTCAGAGGAGTGTGATCACTTTAACATAAGATTGGGTGGAAGTGGGAACAGCTCCTAAATCTTTTCCAGTCCTAGACATCCATGATTGTGCTTTTTCATATTTTGTTTCTCAAAGGCCCCTTCTTATAGCAAGGTGTCTTCAATCCTAAACCCAAGGAGCTCCAGAAATTCTTCCTTATGTTTTCTTTCTTTTTTTTTTTTTTAAATAATATATTTTATTGATTTTTTTACAGAAAGGAAGAGAGAGGGATAGAGCGTTAGAAACATTGATGAGAGAGAAACATCGACCAGCTGCCTCCTGCACACCCCCTACTGGGGATGTGCCCGCAACCAAGGTACATGCCCTTGACCGGAATCGAACCTGGGACCTTTCAGTTCTCAGGCAGACACTCTGTCCACAGAGCCAAACCAGTCTTAGCGTTCCTTTTGTTTTCATCATGTCCCTTCTCATTCACCACTCACAGGTGGCATGTCACCTGCTCAGGAAGACCTTCTGTGACCCTCATAACTAATGTGGGGCCCTCACCAGCCAGGCCTTCACATTACCTTGCACCACTGTCTGTGTAATAAGTGTAGCCTAATGGTTGAGTACATGGGGCTTTGAGCCGGAATCCCAGAGATCAAAATCTAGCTCTGTCTCTTCAATCTTTGACCTTGAGATATGCAATTAACCTCCTCTGCCTTAGTTTCTTCATCTGTAAAATGAAAACAATGAACTACTTTCTTCTAGGATTTTGGCGAGGGCTAATACATGTACCCACTACCTGCCCAACACCTTGCAGTGTGCAGAAATGTTAGCTACTTTTATTTTATTCCTCATCACTCTCTGAAATCACCTTTTTAATTTATTCCCTTCTCATCATCTTGTCATTTTCCGTCTCCTGCTGTTAGAATGCAATGCCATGGAAGCAGAGACTTTTTAATATTAGAACTGCATTGCCAGGATCTAGAAGAGGCTTCATAGTAGGAGTTCAATAAATATTTGTTGAATGAATGAATGCTGTATTAATATTTAAAACGTTAGTTTGCCCAATTTCTTCTCATGTTACTGAGGTGCCCCTATAACAAAACAAACAAACAAACAGAACCCAAGCTATTTGGTTTCTTGCCTAGATTGAAACTCATATTACTTTCCCTTATTATTATTATATTTTTTACCCAAACATCCCACATTTTTGCAGATCGAAAATTTTACAGAGCTTTTACATCTCTAGTTGGTCATGTGGGTGCTATGCATTCTTTCAGAATATTAAATTATGTAGTGACATTGAATTACACTAAGTATTCCTTTTTCAAACGATACCTCTCCTGTCTCACCTTCTTCACTTCTGGGACATGTCCCCTACGAACCAGTAAAAATCACTAACGGTGAAGAACAATGCTGACAGACAGACAGACAGGAATCCTTGAAAAGGAGACCTACAGCTCCTGAAACTGGACACAAAGAATGTAACTTTCTTGCATTCAAATGGCAATAGTCATTAAACCCATAGTGACCTATAGAAATCAAACTGGCCAATGCCACACAGTAATAACTAATAAATGAATTGGACTCAGCAAGGTAGGCAAATACAAATGATCCTAAGGATAGAGCGCGTTTTGTTTCCCCCAGCATAGCTCTTTATAATGGGGTCTGTAGGGTAAAGCATAGTGGCCGCTCAGGTCCTCTCCTTCACTCTGACCCTGTTAAGGTTATGGCTGCTCTGAGCCTGCCTTTTAGACTGGTCAGCTCAGGTTTGGGGGGTGCATGGAAGGGCCTGATTCCCCACCTCCTGTCTTTTTTTCTCTCTGAAGAATTCATGTCAAATACAGTGCCTGACTCTGACTTTTATGCAGGGTCTTGATTACTTATATATAGTTTTTAAGGCCTGATAATATGGACTGTTACCCTTACTGACGGTGCTCACCCTCAAGAGCTATCAAAAGCACTACACTCTGAAATTGGGGAAGGCTATGGGGGCCACATCCATAGTACAGTCTACTTATGTTTATCTTCCACATCTAATAAACATTGTTTGAGAGGTTGGTTAGTATGTTGTAATACTGATAGGATTTGCATTGCCAAAGGCATTTTGTAAGTTTCATAGGTCTCAGTTTATGTTGCTATAGTAACTAAAATGATATAATAATGAAGATTACGACTCTAAACTTGGTCTTCACTGTTGTGGGGAACGTATAATCTGTATACTAACTATTCTCTTTATTATGGTATACGATTTCTGATATCCAACCTGATTTTCTTACTTACATGTATGAATTTCAGTGGCCAGTTTGAAATATTAAAATGGACAGTCTTTCTCTCAAGAGAAAGGAGGGCTTTGGAGAGTTAAGTGGGAGAAGTGGAATTCTGATAAGCAGCAATTCCAGAATTCTCATTTTAAGGACTGACATACATTTGGCTCACCTTCTCCAGCTAAGTGAATTTCTAATGTGCTGAGGCCCTTGGTGCATTATTCACAAGTGCTCTAAGAAAAGGCACGATATTGAGGTATTTGGTGTAGCAGTAATGCCTGAAGTGAGACTAAGGTGTAAGGAAGCTCTACCTTGAGACAGGAAGACAGCTAAGAACCCTGTGGGTTGCTCAAGATCACATGTGTTAATTATATGGACCTAAGACAGAGATATGTCCACTTCTGAAGCCCAGCTTACCTTATATCCTGATGATTTGATGTGCACACCACGTTTGGTCAGAGTAGATTTCATTCGGATGAAAAAGGAACGCTCAAGGGTGTTGTCAGTGGTTAGCAGGCTGGGACTGGTTGACTCCACTGAGGATACAAAGACATACACACATGATTTAGATCTCCGCACAGCCCCTCACAGCTACTGCTCAGGTGCAATCCTTGAATTCACTAAAAATAAATGACTGAGAGGTGCTAAGAGCCAAGTAATCAATTTACCTCATTTAGAAAATGTTTACTTTGCAGAAAATAAAAAAGAAAAATTAATTATCCAAAGTAACTTCATTCCAGTTTCTAGCAAGAGTTTTTCCCTGGCCTTTAATCCCCAGCAGCTCCCTACATGAGGTCTGATAGTAGCTAAGCAGTGACAGCACATTGGGAGGCTTGGCCGATGTGCATGGAGAGAACTGTCATGAGAAAGAAAGACTCCCCAGATTGACAGGATCAACTAAGACTCAGGCAGAGCTGTTTCTGAGGGAGGGTGAGGATGGCCTGCCCCTTGTTCTCCCTGAGAATCCTGTCTTGTGTCATTTACCTCCTGGGGCGTTCTGAGAACCACAGAACCATCAATGCCTTTGAATACTGGAGTTGGTTTTCTTCATTGTGGGGAATAGGAAGCATGAAAAATTCTCAACTGACTTAAGATAGAGGGCTGAGAGTGGGATATACAGACAAACAAACACAAGCTCCTCACAATTTCAACTTTCCATTCCCATCACTAATGGCAGCCTGTCCCCTCCTTGCCCTCACCCCAATAGGAAACAGTCTCAGGGTTTCCCCCTTCTCTGCTTCTGGGGTGGAAAATAATAGTATCCTCTCTTAGTAAGATCTCTTTCCCTTTACAGATTTTTAAACTAAGTACAATACATTTTTTACTTGGGAAACTTAAAATGGTATTTTGCAGTCTTGCTGATCTAAAAATGCTTTATTCATAAGACTAGAAGGCAACATAAGTCTCTTTTCTTTATAGTCAAGCTTCTAAGGTATTATATAAATTTGTTTTTTTCTGCAAAAAAATAATTTTGGGATGTTTAAGCCCAATAAATACTCTCATTTTATTCTTCTAAAATAGTGCTTTTAAAGCTTTTCTTATTCTAAAGCAAAAAAAAGTTGCAACAACATTAGTATTTCTTTTGAACAGTCCTTTTTCTGATATCCTCAAAGTAGAATATCAAAATAGCACTTATATTCTCTGGGTGGGGGTAAAGATTTAAGAATTAAATATATAGTTATGAAAACAAAGGAAGATAGGCCAAAAACTGTAAAATTTTATATTATATAACATATTCCACGTTTCTAAGGCAAAGGCATCTCTGTTTTTTTATATTAAACGTTGTGCTCAATACAAATGATCCAGGGTTGACTTAAGACAAAAGAAGAATGAGAGCTACTGTAATAAGAGAAACCCTGCTGTCTATGGTCTGGGGCCTTTTCTATGTCATTCTGTTTTAATGTGACTATATTTTCCTATATTTATGGTGTTTCTATTCTGGGGTGATGGAACCACCGGCAAGTGTCCTTTTCTTATGTCCCTCTCCTAAGATTTTCTTTTTTTGTTTTTTTGTTTTAGAGAGAATGGATCTGATGTCATTTTAAATGTACAGCTTTTTATCACTCGAGGGAAAAGCAGAGCCATGTTATATTTAGTACTTTCATTTCTTCTGATTAAATATGAATTACTATGAAATTTTTCTCATCATCTAACACGCCATAATACGCCAACAGCTTTTTAATACACTATATAAGCACAAACTTCTGCTCTAAGAGTTTAATTTACCCCTCTAATCCAATCACATCAACCTTATTTCTCTTATCAGAGATTCCCATTTTGAATTAAATGAGCTCATTAGTTTTAATCAAAAGCAGAGAGATCAAAACTTAAACGTAAATGCTTTAGATCAGAACTGTCAGTCAGCCGTGCAGTTCTATTTTACTAAAACACAAGATCAGAGACCCTTAGAACCAATTTTTTTTCTCATAAGGGATGCCGAGAGCTTGAAGATGCTATATCCTTTTTTTTCCTCTCCCAAGGACAGATTATACATTTAAGGTTAGACTTAATTTATAGCAGCTTTTCATCCTGGTGGAAGTGGAAAACTATGCCAATCTACTGTTGTCCCTTTCACATTTATTGGCCCTGGTCCTCAGAGACTTGAACTAACGTGCTGCCATCAGAATCCACACTGCAAACTCGGCCTTAAAAATTCAGCTCTGTTCAGCAAGATCGTGTTTGCAATAGCTGAGGACAAATGAAACTTCCCAGAGAAGTGAAATATGGTTAGGGCTTCTGGTACCCTACTCCAGGAAAGAAGGAGCTATCTACCTGTAGAAGAGTGAGCAATTTAGGCACCATTAGAAATGGTTTTTGTGCTCAGTGTGGGATCACAAAGCAAACACTTAGCATGCACGTTAGAGACCACAGTATGGGTATTTCCCAAGGAATGGGGATGTGAGACACAAGCTTCGCCTGAGCTCTGGAGGCGGAACATTGCCTTGTGCCCTGACTGAAGCATTGTACACAGCACCCCGTGTGTTACAACAGTAATTGTCTAAACATACAGGGCTGCCGCCCTGACTGGTTTGGCTTAGTGGATAGAGCGTCAGCCTGCGGACTGAAGGGTCCCAGGTTCGATTCTGGTCAAGGGCATGTACCTTGGATGCGGGTACATCCCCAGTAGGGGGTGTGCAGGAGGCAGCTGGTCGATGTTTCTCTCTCATCGATGTTTCTAACTTTCTGTCCCTCTCTCTTCCTCTCTGTAAAAAAATCAATAAAATATATTTAAAAAAATAATAAACATACAGGGCCACCTAATTAAAACCATGACAGCTGGTATGCAGTTGTCAAAGTCGAAGTCAGGTTTTGTCCCGTGGAAGCTGAGATTTTAAATCTAAACTGGCCCTCAAGCTTTATTTCAAGAGTGTGGAGGGATGCGTTGGGCGTTGAGGAGAAGGGTTTGATTCTTGATGAAGATTTCTCTTTTAGTTCCATGTGCCTGTCTGGTGCTGAGAAGGGGCAGAGGTCATGGACCACACTGTCCCTATCCAAGGAGCATGTGACAAGCTCTTTCAGGCACCCACACCACGGCCATGTTTGCTCAGGGCCAGCCTGTGTGCTGAGGCCGTCCCAGCTCCTGCAATGGAGTCTGTCCCGTACACAGACAGAGGGGAGGCCTCCTAAGTGTCTCAGGTGAGAAGTACCATGTTCATGAAGGTTCTGCTTGGGACAGAGCCAAGGCAGCATGGCCTTCATGGGTGATAGGACTGCAGCCCTGAACAGAGAAGGGGTGTGTGCATATGTGTGCATACATGCCTGTGTGTGCATACATGTATGTGTGTGTTGGGAGGGTGGAGTAATGAGAAATGTATTCTTAGAACTGGAGCTATAGAAAGACAGTGGGAACCAGTCTGTTGAAGAAGCATTTTAGAGTGCTTTCTAGGAATCAAAGACTTTTCTGTCAACTCAACGAGGCAAGGCCATGATACCTACCGCATACTCTGATAAGAAATCTGAGATTCAGAGAAGTTATAGCTGCTTCCTGAGATCCAGGAGAAATTTATGGATAAAAACTGGATTAAGTGGTCAAAGCTTAGATGTGGCCAGTTTTGACCTATGAATGATAAACAAGGAGCTAAAAACAAAAACAAAAATAAGACACATACAACTCAAAGCTAGATAAAGAAATATACTACCTTTTGCTGAATGTCAAGGGCCTCAACTTTTTAATAAATCTAAATTATCTCAGCTCTTGAAATGTCAGTTTTTGCATATTTTGTAAAATTTTCAGAACGATTTATAGCAAAAGTTGTAATAATTTTTGTGCTATGGCAAATGCCACCATAATGTGCAACCATGTCAGTGTTAGTCCCCATCTGCGAATGATTCCCTCACTGGTTTGGGAGTTTCTGCTTCTTTATCATGGAGGGCCGGGGGTGGGAGAGGGTGGGAAGGCTGAGGACCATCTAGTTCTTGCCGGCCAATCCTAGGCCAGGTCCATTCTGGACACTTGCAGTATTCTCTCCAGGTCTCTGCAGGGGAATGATGCAGGTGAATGAGATCAAAGCATAAAGAGGGCCTTTCTTCCCAGTGCACTCCAAGTGTAGTTGTAAATGCCAGAACCCTCCAGCTGCCACCAAACCCTGATGTATGAGAGAGGAAAATTTTTTTTAAAATGTTAAGTTTTGAGAAAACTTTGTGACTTTTCAATTGTGAACAAAATATTTTTCCTTTTAAAGGAGAAGTGGAGTTGAGGGTATGGCATTAAGAGCTGGAACTACTCAGATAACCTGCTACTGGTTCCTGGCCTGTAGAAGCGATATAAGATAGCTTTGTCAATATTTGGGGTAATTTGTTTTGCAGCAATAGATGACTAATATAACATCCATGTAGACACTATTTGGGAAAATCACCACCTTGTTTTGATATGTGACAACCATGTATGTGTGTACAACTCATGTTGAACCCACATGTGCAAGGAAAACTACCTGCAAAGCTGACTGTTACAAGCAGGGCCTGTGTTCTCCACAGCAAATGCTCAATTGATGTTTTAAAATGTGTAGTTTGCAAGAGATGCTATCAACAGTGTCATCTACAAGACTGTGAGGTCCTGAAAAGCAGGCCTGATGTGTTTTTGGCTTTTGTGTCTAGTCTCTGCTCTCCTCCAGCCCCCCTCAGCTCCCCAAGTACCTAGGATTGTGTTTTATATAAGCAGCCACCCAGTCTGCATGTAGAATAAAGTAACAGTCAGATGCTTACTTTTAAGAAGAATTATTTGAATTATTTTCTTTTATATCAAACATCTCCTCTCCTCTCCCTCTCTCTCTCTCTCTCTCTCTCTCTCTCTCTCTCTCTCTCTCTCTCTCCCCCCCCCCACCCCCCTTCCTTCCTCCCTCTCTGGAGAGAGGGAGTCACTGTGTCTCGTGTTATACTCATCTCTAAGGAAGCATTTTCTGCAAAGTGTTACTTTCAGAGTCAGGGGCCAGAGGGTTGTTAGAGGATCGGCCTGTTTCCCCAAGAATCAGAGGATACTTTGTTCTCTGTTCTGAGGGTTGGTTTTCATCCCACTGGCCGTCCTCCACCATGTGGCAGG